CATTTTACCCAATTATTGTTGTTATAATGATTTATTTAATTTATATACTAATATATTTATGTTGTTGTTATGCTATCATAGGTTGGGCTGGATGTTGATATATACAATCAACGATATTATGTTGATCAAGGACCGATTGATCCGACTATTTTATACGATCAAGCCAATCATTGTTCAAGAGACGTTTGAAACGACCACAAGGTACATATTATTTATCATCACTTGTAATTTGTATTTTGTTAAAGTAATTTATTTGTTTGTACAATAATTTACTTAATTGTTAATCGTATTGATTATTTTCAATAATTTAAATCAATAAAATACAACACTTATTTAGACTCTTTATAAAGAAATGCATGTCTAAGGAAATGGGGACTTAAGCGATCATCATGATCCCCCCATGACCTGGGAAAATCGGGTTCTAAGCGATCCTCGGATCCCCCATTTTTCTATCATAAAGACTGTGTTTCTAAGGAGATGTATACCTCTCCTAAGAGTCTTACGAGTGTACTTGTATTGCTTTAAATTATTGAAAATAATCAATACGATTAAAAAAATAATATATTTGATTTTATGTGTATGTGTACAAAAAATAATTATACTTAAATTTCGAAAATTATTTTAGTTATGTTAAAATTAATATTTATTAGATAATGTATATTTCTCTAAAACAAACTGGATTTAATAAATATTGCATCTTATAATATATTTATATATGTATAAATCATCAACTTATAGTGAAAGTTAAATTCTTCTCTAGGATGCATACCATATAGTCCGCTATAGGGGCACGACGAATGTGCTTGAATGGAACGACGTCATCTTGCCCTTTCTAAAAAGGGCAATATTGGATTCAATTAGGCACTTTAATGGAATCAAAATCGACCGCCAACTCATCACAGCATTGGTAGAGAGATGGCGAAAGGAGACACACTCCTTCAATTTTCGTGAAGGCGAGTGCACCATCACACTTAATGACATCGCCATCCTAACCGATTTGCCCATCGATGGTGATGTTATTTGTTTGGACTCTACGCCACCACCTAAAGTTGTAGCCAATATGAGTGGTTGGCAGCATTTTATATGGACGGTCACCGGGTTGTGTCCTCCAGAAAAGGGAGATCACAATGTGGATGGTAATCCACCATTGTCCAAGGGCCAAGTATCCATCACGTGGTTGACAGCGGAGATCAGGCGTAAGCACAACCCTGAGTTCGGAGGCATTCCCCTCACGGAGGAAAGTTCGGAGCGTGATAAAGACATTTATGCATGTATCTACATCCTCGACATGATCGGAGGAGTTTTCCTCCCCAAGAAATCCAACAATTCAATCAGCAATTCTTTGTTGAAGATTATACTTGGGCGTTGATGATATGGGAAACCTGAGCTGGGTATCTGCTTGCCTAGCTCATCTCTACCGCTCCCTCTGTAATGCTAGTGCGAGAGAGGTGAAGGAGATTGATGGGGCCATGTTCGTCGTCCAATTTTGGGCTTGGGAGCATTTTCCATGGATTGCGCCGAAGGTAGATCCCGACAAGGAACGGGGACCCAACCATCCCCTACAACATGAAGCTTATGGTTGTAGGTAAATATTTTCTATCCCACTCATAGTTCTCACCTTTTTTTACTAATTGGGTATTTTATAACGAACCAGCTATTATGTATTCATGATGTACTTTTTGGATTGAATAGGTGGCTTGGTGAAAAAACATGCGACAACCTAGGAGCGTATAAGTTGGAGGAGTATCGTAGGAGGCTTGATCGCCTGTGGGAAGCAGAGGTGACCATCATAATACACTATTACTTCCTACTTTCTTTTCAACTTATATTATTATGTTTCTTAATGGTCCATTTTTTTCTGCACCTTCGTAGCTTAAGTTCGATCCGTATCCAAAACGCATTGTCGCGCATCACGTCCACAAGTTCCCGTTGCATCCCGGTCAATGGTGCACCCGAGTTCCACTAATCTGCCACCATATAGTGGAGTGGCACTTGCCGGATCGATTTCTACAACAATTCGGACGTGAGCAATGCCTACCATTGGAAGTCCCGGAGAGTCAGAGGGGGTACCATAGTAAGATGGTCGACAAGGAGCTACTAATTGGCCGGAGGAGTATGTAGAATTGATCGCTCTGTGGAACGTTAGGCAAGATCAGGATATTGTGACGGGATCTCATGTGGGGGGATGGGCTACCATGACCCATACATGGAAACATACAAAAGACAATTTGTTTGTTACATGACCCCCGAAGGTGCGGCGGACGGAGCTTTGGTAAGTAATTCAGCTTTTATTTATTTAGGAATGCGGTACATTACTTTTTAAATGGCTCACGTTGTTATTTTCTTAAATTTAGGTTGATGTCATCGAGCGTATACACGACTTCGCTCGTATTGTAGATCATTCGGTTGCGAGTCGAGAGGTGGGGCTCATTCAAAGGATAGCGAACAGTCTCCTTGGCTGTATGAGAGCGCGCAGACGTGACCATCACAGATACCCGCCAGTTCCCCAAGTGAGACCGCCGCCGGTGATGAAGGATGTCCCCCACATGCCTCCGCTGGTCCATAGAAGGCCAAACAAAGCTACAAGGGATCGACCTCACGTGCCGGAGATCAAGCCGATTGAGGCGTGGAAGGTGCCTACTCCATTGGAGGTGTGCAGCGGTGCAGGGTCGAGTACTCAGTATGATCCCCGGTCGAGTTTTCACTACGATCCCTGACCAAGTGCTTTCTACGACCCCAGTACTCAACATGATCCTCGCCCCAGCTTCCACTACGATCCCACGCCCGGAAGCCAGTATGATCCCCGATCGAGTTTCCAATACAATCTTCGACCCATTTTCCAGTGTGATCCCCGGCCAAGTACATTTCATGACGCCACATCCTCAGCTACTTGGGCCGATGGTTCATACTCAAGTCCCCACCAAGACTTCTCACCTTTGCATCGACAACAACAACAATGGCAGTCCACTCCCCACCGTATGAGCGTGGATAGTCCTCGACCACGCACGGAGGGGCCACCTACCACGACACCAAGGCGACATAGCACGGACCAGCGCCCTTCTACGGCGAATAGGAATCTGCCACCAGTTCCAACCCCTATTACACTCAGTGGACCAGTCGCCCATCGCACAAGGAAACATAGGGCAAATCGTCGAAATAATGCATGAGTGTGATAAGTTGTGTTTATTTCAAGTTATGTTTTGTTTAAATTAAGTTGAAAAATTTGTTTTTAGTTGAAGTTATTTTTTACCTCATCATGTAGTGTGTTTGTGTTCGTGATGTGTTTTATTCAAAAAGATGGAACATTGCATCGAAGTGTGTTAATTGTGAAAATCTCCAATGTCATTGCTTCAGTGGCAATAGCGTGCTGACCTCATTCTTCGTTGCAAATTGTTGGCCCTTCGTAAAGCCAGTGATTGGAACCCATACTGGCACCTCTAGCGGGTCCATGTCGGCATAAACATACCAATCTTCATTTTGAATGTGATTGTAGTACATGATAGGTACATGGTCGCGAGGTACCTCATCACCGTCTGCGTCTGAATCTGGACCGGAATCATCAGCACCTTCAAGAGGATCGAAGCTGTCTGCACTAACATCGCCTTCCTCTTCTTCAACCTCAGGATCACTAACTGGACTTGGATTGACCTCTTCTTTCATCTGATTATCATCATGAAAGACACCTTCACCTTCACTAGCTCCGTAATGGTAGTTGTGGTAACTAACACCGCTTTGGTAGAAGTTGTACTCGGGTGGGTACTGGTAGCCTGCTTGTTGGTTATGATCCGCCTGTTGAGCTTCTTCTTCATATGAAGGGAAGGATTGATGATGCCAGTTCCATCATGATACTCCTGCCTCCAGCTCGAGTCTTGGTACTCCTGGTGGGGATGATCTTTGTATAATACACTCCCACCGTGGATACAAGATGTTTGGCCATCTCCAGAATGACCTACACCGCCTTCGACGGCCTCGGTGTAAACGAACATCTCCGCTTGCTTAATTTTATTGGTGGTAAAAAATTGGACCATGACATGAACGTCCTCCTGAGTGGTAAGGAGGAATTCCTCATTCCACAGTGACCCGTCATGTCTGTTTGGATATCGATACACCATTTGATCAACTCTTCTAGTGCCATCCATGCATGTAATCTGAGTGCACATTTGATGGAGCTCTTCAAGCATCGGTCTCGTACGGACCTTCATTTTATAAAAATTTTCACCGACGTAACTTACACCCTTTTCAGTCTCTTCCGTGTAACCATTCCACCGCAACCCAAGTGTGAACCTTTGGAATGACATCTGCAATAAAGATGTAATTAAGTTACTAACATAAAATCACAAAGGACAATGAAAAGTAAGACAAAACAAACTTACGAATTAACGTTAATCGCAAAAACTAAATAATTTAAAGGTGCACAACTGAAATTTGAACAAGGAGGAGGAGTGTGAAGAATTTGAGGAGTGAAGAGTTTGAGTTCTCTGAAACAGCCTTTTATAGGCGAATTTTGCAGTACAAACCGCCGGGGGGGGGGGGGGGGGGGGGGGGGGGCGGTTTTAGGTCTGCCATGCAGCCCCATGTCGGGTGACCAGGCACAAACCGCCATTGGGGCTGCGGTTTATGTCTGCACATGATAAACCGCCGTCTGGTGGTGCGGTTTATCAAGCCGACATTTAAACGCTTCCTCAAGAAGCGTTTTGTGGTAGGGTTAATATATAAACCGCGCCTTCGAGGAGCGGTTTTACCTGAAATTAAAAATCACCTGTTGACAAGGCGGTTATGATGTAAACCGCTGCCTGGTGGCATGGTTTATATATTAACTGCCTATTAGAGGCGCGGTTTTTAATAAACGGTGTTATTTTTAGAAATTGTTGGGATTGGGTGCTATTTTTATAATTTTTTTAAACAGTGGTAGTTTTGGATTTTTTTCCCGTTCCCCACCGGCAAGGGTGATTAATTAGGACAATTATAAACTTTAATCCCTTTATCTTCTTCCCCTTCTCAGTTCTCACTGCATCTTTGAATCTTCAGCTCAATGGAGCAGCTCGGAAAGATCTGGCACGAAGACCAAGCAAAACAATGAGCAACCTAGTTGCATCTTCTTATTATTGCAATCCGAGCTGCCATCCAACCTCAATCAACGACCTTCGTCACCGCCACAAGGTAAGAAAAGACGTGCCACCAGTAGATCCGCTTCAGTCATCGCCGCCTCAATCAGATACGCCACTCTCCTGCGTTGAGTTTGAGAATGGATTGGATCCCTTTTGATTTGCGAACCATGAGAGGAAAGATAGAGATTTCGAGATGGGATGGATCTGTTTGGCCCTCTGTAGCGCCGACGATTATGTTCTCCCTGAAGTCGACGAGCGAGATGGAGGACTTGACTGTGAAGCTCAGAAGTTCTACAAGAGCTACAGGACGCGGCGGAACCTGGCGGATTACACGGTGGTGTTGGAGAAGCTGTGGTGGAAGGCGTTGGATTTCGCCGCGTTAGGCAGAGCTCTGTTTCCTTCTTTGACGATCTCAAGATAAGATTTCTTATATTTTTAAATTTATTTTTATTTTTTTGTTAAAAATAAAAAAAGATAAATAGTAATAGGTGTAAAATCAAATTTTTTCAGTGTTTTGTGATGACTTGGCAGCACGTTAACAATCCAAGTTAACGGTCAAACATATAGTTTGACCAATTTCGTTATTTGATGTATAGTTTGGGCCAGAATGTTATAGATCGAAAAGATTGGTCAAGATGTTTATTTTGGTCAAAATTCAGGCCATATAAATATATTAACCCTAAAAATAATTATCACTCATGATCTTCAAAACAGTAGATAAATAATTATTGAAATAGTCCAATCAAGTGATACTAGCATTTTCATTTGCTAAAGTACTTATGAAAACAATGTCCACAAAGGGTTTTCTTAATAAGCTTGATTTCTTTTATGATGAGGCATATGAGATATCATAATGAAATGACTATGCACTTTTTCCTTTGTTAGAATTTTATCACATATAATTTATTTATCTATCTATCTATCTATACCATATATTATGACAATTCAAAAGTAATCTCTTGCCACATAAACACTTGGAGATCCACAATTTGCCAAGTTGGACAACTTTTTTACAAACAAAAAATTTAGTTATTAATGTATTTATTGAGCTACCTCTCTCTTCTTTAATATTTTAATTTCTTTAATCCAAATATTCTTTTTCATTTATTCTTGTTTTTTTTTTTTTGCTTTGATAATAAGTTACATGTTAATAAACTTAACCAAACACACCTAAATAATAATCTTTCGTCAGGTAAAAAAATATAAATAAGGAAACAGAGAGTGACATATAATACTTTTTTAAAATAAAAATATCTAATTAAACATTATGAAGTAAAATTTCTACTCATTTTTACTAAAATTGAATGATAAGTTAAATTTTGATGAAAATTAAAAAAAAATACGCATAAACAATAATATTTTTATAGATTAAACAAAATATATATGAAAAGAGAGAAAATAAACATTTGACATTCAATTATCTTTGAAAAATAAATTATATTACTTTATATTTTGTTGCAATAAAACACTCTCTTATTCATAAAGTATATGTCTATAAAATAAAATAAAATAAGTATTATTTAGCAAAATGTCAGAGTATAATTTTGATAGAGTAGTTACAATTATTTATTTAAAAAGGACTTCTTATTCATTTAGATCATGTTCTACCTTAAACTCCTCAAATGAAGAGGGATCGCATTTGCAATAATTTTATAATGTGTCTTAAGTTCACATTAACAATAGTTTCTCTATATCATGTTGATTGATCAAAGCTCTATTGAGAACCTAAGTCGTATGCAAAGAAATTTTCTTTTAGACTTGGAGTTATCGTCCACGATTATAAATCAAAATTTTCAAACTAACTTAGGTATGATTGTTGACGAACTTTGACTTTATACCCTAAGATCAGACACAAGATTCCTTGAAAAATACATATGTGAAGGTTAGAGAAATCTTTCATGAGAATATACAATAAACATTACGTTTAACCTAAGCATTTACCAAATAAAGGTTGTGAAATTTTAGTAAGATAGTCAATTGGGATAAACATATTTATCCAACAATCAAGTGTCTTTATCTAATAATCTCAACTCTCAAAATTGGTTGCCAGTTTGTCCAAACTCAAAAATCACGAAATGATATATGTTGTACAAGATAATAATTTAATGCAAATAATCAAATGAAATCCATCGATATTGTTCAAATGATAAGATATTTTAAATGCACATGAAATATGTGTGTATTGTACACACTCTTTATCGATTATTAATATATAAGTGATAAAAGTTTTGAAAATTACACATTCAACGACCATATTAACACCAAAATTTAAACAATGACCACGGGTTAAGGTTCAATCTTAACTTCAAGAATTAACAACTGATACATATTGTATAATATACTAAATTTAAGTGTCTTGATAAAATAAACTAACATCCAAAATGGAAATGAGTCGAGATTAGAGAATTTAATCATCATGAGCGCAACAGTGTGCGTCAAGTTTCAATATGGATGAATAAATTGATCCAATAATGAAGTATATTTACTAAGAATTTCTCACAAAAAAGTCATAATCTTTACAACATTAGTCGAGATTTCTTCCAAACTTGGGGATCGTGAATGTGTACTGGATTTCCAAAGGACCTAAAATCTCAATCCCTTTCGAGGGCTAAATACTTCTGATCACAACCGTAGGTGCCAAAGAATAATGAAAAGAATCCCAAAAAAGCAAAAAAGAACATAACCTCTTATAAGATGAACAGTATATAACTATATCGAGTTATGATCCTGTCATCCCTACCCTTTTATTCTCCATAAAGGGAGCGGCAGGAGAGGATATGAAATAAATAGCAGGATCTTAGGATTTGCCTCTTTATATATTACATATCGAACGATAGACAACCCCAATGGTTGTTTGATGTTATGGGGGTAAAAGCAGGATCTCTATCCCGAGGGTGGGGGATAAACAAGTAGCACTTTTAATATGAGTATTAGGCGATATAAGATAGGTCTGGCGAAGTATCTGGATAATTTAGAGCCTACTATATATATACACACATATATAATATGAAGGTGTACTATACTTTTGATTTTAGTCAAAATACGATAGAAGATAGGTATGCTGAAGTATGTGCATAAATGAGAGGTTAGAGAATTAGGGACTGGAGTTCACCTATTAGAGGTTAGGGTATAATATTATGCTCCAAAAAACTCCGGTTAATTCGGGGTCTAAATAGTAAAAGTCAATGGTCGTATGGTAGTGTGAATGAAAAAGTATAGTGCACACTAGCTTGAACTATATATATGTGTGTATGGTTCAGGTTGACATACGCTGAATATTAGTGTTTTGATTTACAAAGTTTGACATAAGTTCTAAATGAGACGTGACAACGACATAATTTATGATTAGAACACCGAAGTATCACAAGTGAGTGTGCTAAATATTGGAAATTTTCAATATAAACACACTACAAATTCTATTATGAATCAATAACACAATAAAAGATCCAAAATGATTTAAACATATAAATAAATTAATTAATATAAATTCTAAAATTAATCTCACCGGCCAATGTGCCGGGTAAAAAGCTAGTTTTATAGTAAGGTTTAATGAAGTATGCCATCAACTAATAGACATCTAAACTCTAAAGAGGAGTATAAGTAAAATACGAGAATTGATGTCGATGACCATTACATGTTATGAGTTCTATGTAATTTCTTTCTTTACATGTAAACTATCTTTATTATTCATTAATCATCTCTCATTGCAGTTGATATTTGAAGGAAACACATGAGAGGGTATATTGCCTATGGTAACTTGTCAAGAGATATACAAGCATGTGGAAGAGATATATATGAAAAGTACTGTTAGCTAGCCTCCACTCTTCCTATTGTTTCTACTTTGTTCTTGTGTTTCTTCGGTGCTACTTTCATCATTGTCGTAACAAATTGATCTTTTTAGCAAGACTAATATTATATGGATTATAAGTACACATTATTAATTAGGAAGAAGAAGAAGAAAAAAAAAACACATTAGACTACATGTCAACTACAAAATTAAGGCTAACAGTTGGCAGGCAATACATTAAGGATTCGGTGTAATTTAATATTCTTGTTGAGGTTGTATTGTAATACATAGCAGATAGATGTTCATGTGTGGTCGACGTCGACATGAGGTATGCATCAAAGAAGGGGCCTCCAGGTATATATAGCTGACTTTTGGTACTGCGTGGGTTAGTTGATCTGTCTATTAAGATTGATTACGTCTTCACGTGCTTCAACTCCATCTATATCAAAGTTTGCGTGATATTATAGCAATTTACCAATAATACGTTTTAACTAAATCAAATTAGGATGAAATCACATCATCGTTTACGTTTGTAGCTTGTTTTTCAGATATCTATACATAAGGCAAGCTCATCATTAAGGGTATAATCCATTTCTGTACGAAATTTCACAAATCTTATAAATTAATCAATTCATTTCTTCACACAGCACCATTAACCAGTTTTTGCTTCTTCTTTTTTTTTTGCTGGAATCAAATACTTTTCTCTGGAATGGATTATTTATAAGCCAAACGTTTTATGGATTCTTTTTTATGAGTCAAATTTATTGAAATAATAAGAATTCATCAAAAGTTTTTTAACATGATAAAGTAATAGGCATTAATTCGTTACCGTTAACTATTTTTTAAAGGTGCTCCACTTTAGCGTTCAACTCAGCTGCCACCTCATGAATGAATAAAATCAAATTGGGTAATTAATTATTAGCCAAACTTTTCTCGCATTTTTTTATTAGTCAAACTTATTGAATTACTAATAATTGACCAAATCTTTTGTAATGCATCAAAATATTCGCCATTTTATTGTATCGTTAATAATTTTATAACTTTTTTCTTAGTTAAAATACTAAAGTTTTGGAATGTTGACCTCTATGTGTCACTTACAAGTCAGTATCATGTTCCCAAGTCAATATTACTAACAAAATTTCTAACGGAAAGTTAACATTTGGTTAATTATTAGTAATTCAATAGGGTTGGGTAATAAAAAGAATGCGAAAAAGATGGTCAATGGTTGACCGACTGATGTGGCATTTTTTGACGGCCACGTCAGAATATTCCTTCCAACTCAGCGCCACATCTGACAGCTTACCATCATCAAACGGACAAGTTAACGGAGATTTAATGTTTGGTTAATAAATAATATTCCAATAGGTTTGGATAAAATAAAAGAATCCGAAAAATTTTTGGTTAATAAATAGACATTACGTCACCCTAAATTTTTTTTATGGTATAAAGTATAAACGGAATTAGTACTCACGTTAAGATACAGAGTAAATTTATATGATTATACCTATACATTTTTGTGCAAAATTCTTTATGATACAAATTCAAATTATATATATACCTTATTGTACATTTTTTTTTAACTCAATTTATCTTGTACCTGGAAAACGGGTGATTGTGAACCTTGTAAAGTTTTTCATTTATTGTTATTAAAATAATAGACGTTGTGTCATTTTTTGCTTATGGGACTTTTTCAATCAAACTATCTCTAATAATTTCACTTTAGAGTTTTTTTTCTTTTGTGTAGTCAAATAATTATGATAATTTCACTTTGATGAGACCTAGAGAAATAAAGCAAGGGTCAAAACAGACATTTCCCCTCCCATTTATCGATGTAGGGTCGTCTAAATCTCAGTTCAACCATGATTGACGATTTTTTCAATGGAAATTTCAACTGAAGAGCATGTTTGATAGTTTTTCCAAATTACATGGACATATTTGATGTAAAAAATAATAAAGAAGCATATTTGATAAAACATCATAGTAGATGAGCATATTATACCTATAACCTTTAATTGTACCGCATGTTTATTTCCTTTTACGAAACTGTATCTATATGTTTATTGAACGTCAACACCTCTTTTATCCTTTGTTAATTTATCTACATGACGTTTTGGGGAGAAGATACGGTGGGAGGAGGAGAGGCAGGGTTGGTGATACGTCCCTTTAGTGTTCACAATTTTTATAACTTGTTGTATTGTTAATACTTGTTTATTATATATTATTGTCTCTTTGTATTTTTTTTTTTATAGCTTAGCTATCTTTTTTTTTGATGCAAAATTGGGAGTCGGGAACAAGATTGTGTGCGCACTTATTTTTTAAGATTTCAGTACTTAGACCCAACCCATGTAATCGACGGCTACAGTTGTAGAAATTCGTGATATTCTACAACTTGTTATGGAAGAGAACCAGATACAGAAAGTATAAAGAGAAATAAGACCATAAATCGAAAATAAAAAAGTCCTAGAAAATCATAAAAAATAAAAAAGCACCATATATAATTGCAATCTGACTATCTGAGTACATCTTACAAATTTGTATCAAATTCACTAATCTAATTCAACCACTAAAATATTCAGTTAATTAAATTTATTTAATCTAATATATCTAATCAAAATTAAATTGTATTAATAGATTATTATTAAATTATAGTTTAGTACCTGAATTTTCTATATATTACATTTTGATACCTAAAATTTATTTTCTATCCAAATCCAAAATCGACTACTTCTTACTGGAGGTGACAATTTTGTATCAAATCCACCAATTCAATTCATCCGCTAAAAGATCTTATTACTTCAATCCATTTAAATCCAATTGGGTTAATGAATTCTTGAATTGTTGACAACAATAGTTTAGTACCTCTATTTTTTATATTTTATAATTTGATATAAAAATATTATTTTGTATCTGAATCAAGATCGAGTACTTCTTACTATCCACCAATCTAATCCATCTACTAAACTATCCAATTAATCTAATCCATTTTTCTTTTACAGAAAATCTAATCCATTCAAATCCAATATATATAATCCAAATCTAATTAGATTAATAAATTCATGGATCATTTTCAAATTATAGTTTACTATCTCTGTTTTTTATATTTTAAAATTTTATACCTAGTTTTTTAATGAACAAATTATTGAAATTTTACGTTTTGGTACCTAAATATTTTATAGTAGCATTGTAGTGCCTAAACTTTATAAAAGGGTTATAGGTATAATATGCCCCTTTACTATGACGTTTTATCAAACATGCTCCCTCTACTATTTTTCACGTCAAACATGCCCTTGTACTTTGAAAAACTTATCAAACATGCCATTTTGCTAAAATTTCCATCCAAATACCGTTAACCAAGACCGAACTTTGGTTTGGGCGACCCAAATATCTAAAATATCTCTAATCATTTCACTTTAGAGTTTTTTTCTTCTTCTTTTGTATAGCCAAATAATTATAATAATTTCACTTTGATGAGACCTAGAGAAATAAAGCAAGGGTCAAAACTGACATTTTCCCTCCCATTTATCGATGTCAGGTCGTCTAAATCTCGATTCAACCATGATTGACGATTTTTTCAATGGAAATTTCAACTGAAGGGCATGTTTGATAGTTTCCAAATTACATGGGCATGTTTGATGTAAAAAATAGTAAAGGGGCATGTTTGATAAAACGTCATAGTAAAGGGGCATATTATACCTATAACCCTTTATAAAATTTTCATATTGATCCAATATTTAGATATCACTTGAATTTATGAATCCACTTCACCAATCCATTTAACCTAATTTATGAATCCACCAATTAATTTGATCCAAACTCATAAATCCACAAAAATTCATGGATTCAATCCATTTATCACCTCTTTCTCCTTGGTCACCATTCAGCCTGATAAACACCTCAGATCCGTATCGAAATTGTTATCTATCTACAGGGGAAAAGCAAACACTTTCAGTATTTATGGCTAGGAACAAAAATTCCCAATCAATACGCATACGCTACAACAAACGTTTCGAAGTCAAAATCTCCTGTGTGTTGACTTTTTGAGCCACACACCTCAAGGCAACAATGACGCTATAATTTCGCTATCGATAATCGACGGTATTCTATACTAATGTGCACATCCTCATCCGATCCGATGCACAATTTATTTCTTTATACTTCTTTCGGCAACACCGTTGCGTTGACTGACTCTCCTGTGTTAAATTAAGAGAGCAAGACCTAAGCAAGGCAGACAACCACCACTAAGCACGTTCCTACCCCAACAACACAAAGCCATGGCGCTGGCGCAAACCATCATCTCACCACCACTACTCCTCACCTCCGATCTCCCCCCGATCCCATCCAACCCGCCGCCCGCCGCCGTCACATCCGAGCCGGACTACGACAGGGCGGCTGACGTCAAGGCGTTTGAAGACACGAAAGCCGGCGTCAAGGGGCTGGTGGACGCCGGGCTCACCACCATCCCTCGCTTCTTCATCCACCCTCCCGAAAACGACGCCGTGGTAGCAAGGGTCGGGGATCCGCCCGTCCACCACTTGCCGCCGGTGATAGACATGGGGGCCGGGCGGTGGGAGGAGGTGGTGGAGCAGATCAGGGAGGCGGCGGGGACTTGGGGGTTCTTCCAGGTCGTCAACCACGGCGTGGAAACGGAGCTCATGGAGGAAATGCTGGCGTCGACCAGGAGGTTCCACGAGCTGCCACGTGAGGAGAAGATTCCGTTTTACTCAAGGGATGTCACGAGGCCCGTTCGGTACGTCAGCAACGGCAGGCTGCTGGATCGAGCGGCGCCGGCGGACTGGAGGGATACGCTGGCGTTTCACGTTCCCGACGGCGGGTTGGACCCGCTATCTGTTCCTCCTGTATGCAGGTGCGTACGTAGTTTCTTTCTTGTTTCAGAAACAAAACAAAATAAGGAAGATATATCATTCATGCATACTATGGATTTAATAAGTTTTTATTTTTATTCTTTCCCCCCGGCAATCTTAGAAATCACAACGATTAATTAGTATCTTACTAATCACTTTTAATTTCGTAATTAAATTAATATTTTCCCCATTTTTCTTTGTTCACACCCTATAACATAACAACTTTTCCTAAAAAGACGTATCGTATATCTGTGCATGCTTAATTAGTCATGTGTGAATGTGATTTAGAATTTCATGGCACTGCTAGTACGCGGACACTTTTGAATATCAAGTCTCGACCTCATTGGACATGTAACCACAACTTTCGTTGGTCGTTAACAAAAAAAAAAAAAAAAAGAAGAATTTAATTGTTGACTTATAAGTTGTAAACTTTTTTTCATGTTGACTTAATTGTCGGGTCAATAGTTATCTGAATAAAGGTACGATAAAAATAAACTTATTTATTCATGATTACATAATAATTTCTAACACTAAATTTTAAAGGGACCATAATATCGTTTATTTCAACATGAAGTTAAAAAAAAAATGAATAAATTGCGACATTGCAAATATATTTGTAACATGATTTACCATGTTAATATACTACAGATATCACACAAGGTAACACTAAACTATACTATGGTACGCGGTGGTTTATAAAATATGTCATGGTGGCCCCAAATCATGTGATGGTGGTATATTTTATGACAACCATTTTCTTTGAAACTTATTGAAATGAATGTCATTATTATATCAAAAGTAATAATTTTTCAATGTAATTTTTTTAATTGAAATAAAAAAGAGATATAAACCGATCCAGAAAATTAGAAAAATTTAAAGATAATTTGGTCTCATGAGCTGAGGTCAATGACACTTTTATTAGATTCGTCTTTTGTCAAAAAAAAAAAAAGACACTTTTATTATTTACAATTTACTCGTACTTTACACGTCTCTAAAAATTTATGTGGTTTGCCAATCGTCACTACTAAAAAAACCTAGCTTTCTTGATGGCAGGGAAGTCGCAACAGAGTATCTGAAACAAACACTCAAGCTGAAAAACAAGCTGGCGGAACTCCTCTCCGATGCCGCGGGACTGAATCGAGATCACCTCTCCACCATCAAGTGCATGGAATCACAGACAATGGCGTGCCACTACTACCCACCTTGTCCCCAGCCTCACCTCACGATCGGTTCCTCAAAGCACACCGATCCCTTCTGCCTCACCATCCTCCTCCAAGACCACAACCAAGGGCTCCAGGTTCGAAACCACGACCGGTGGGTCGACATGCCGAAATCGGCGCGAGGAGCTCTGGTGGTGAACGTCGGCGACTTCCTGCAGCTCATCACCAACGACAAGTTCAAGAGCGTGGAGCATCGAGTCGTAGCTCAGAGCTCCACTACACGTTCCTCAGTTGTTTGCTTCTTCGGCCCTGGCTCCGAGAATAAGTACAGGCTTTACGGGCCTGCCAAGGAGCTGGTTCTGGGTGGTGATCTTGTGGAGCCGGTTTACAGGGAGGTTCATTTGGTTGAGTTTCTCGACTATTTTAAGTCAAATGGCTCCCCACTTTCTCACTTTAAATTGTCTTGAAGGCTGAAGCCGTATCATTCAAGAAGACGTTATAGCTAGCTTATGTGGGGAAGTTTATAACATACTTTATTTGTATGATTCGAAATTTTCACATATTAAACATTCTGATCAATTTTTCTGATCTATAACTTTGTGGCCTTAACTATGCATTAAAGTTACGAAATTGGCCAAACCCAAGATTTGACCGTTTTCTTGGACGGTCGAACGCTTTGACCGTTATCTTGGACGGTCAAACGCTTTGACAAATGGTCAACGCGCCACGTCACTGCCAAGTCATTACAAACCACTTTAAAATTTTGGTTTTTTCCACCTATTACAATTTATCTTTTTTATTTTGAACAAAAGAAGAATAAAAAAGGAAAAGAAATTAAAAATGTCGGGTCCCTTTCATTTATCTTTTCCATATTTTAAGTGGTATGTACTGACTTGCCAGTGACGTGGCGAGTTGACCGTTAGGCAACGTGTTTGTCCAATTAGTCAACACGTATGACTAACGGTATATGAACAATACAATCTAGCTATTCAAGAGAATTAAATTAATTACACCCTGAAAATTTTATATTAGGTATCATCAAGTCAACAAAAATGTTAGTCCAGTCAGCATCTAAAATGACTCCGTTACAGTTTTGTAAGAAACTGGACATTTTGTCTATTTCAGAGAAATTGGCTATTATTATCACAAAGTTGATAGTTATGACGATGCATGTGTATTTTGCCATTAAAGTTTGATGTGGCGTCCACGCGGCATGATATGTTGCAGCTGACGTGTGCGTCAAGGTGGCATCCTCATCATCTTCTTGCTAATGTAACTGACAGAATCTCTAACTGCATTAAAAGTTTGTAACGGAAGTGGCTAAATTTTTCGAACATGTTTCCAAAATATGGAAATTGTGTATTTCTCAGAAATTGGCTATTATTGTCATACAATCGATAGTTATAGCTATGTGGGTGAATTTTTGATCGAAGACGAAGATATGGGCGAAGTAGTCGTGGCGGTGTCTTGGATGGTCTGAGCGAAGCTCAATGCGCCACTAGTAGGTGAATTATGGTCTGGTATCGATTTCTTTTCAAGTCTCTTATTGTAAGAGACATATCAGTGGCAAATTGGTAAGTGTGGAAGGAGATGCCGACGATTAGCTAGGAATTTGATGTTCTGTGGAATTGCTTGGGCTCTGAGAAAAAGGGGAGAAAGTGAAGAGAAATTTTTGTTTTTATTTTTCATTTTTTTTTTCTAGTTTTCCTTAATCCACGTGTCAAAATATTTTACGAAATGTTGCCAGGTCATTAGTCCAGTAAGCCTGTTAGATGACACTGTTATAGTTTTGGATGAAATTGGACATTTTGTCTATTTATCCAAATGTGGCTATTATTGTCAGAAATTATTGTGGCCAATGGATCTGCATATATTTTACATTTTTTTTAATTATACCCTACTACCATTGACAAATTACAAAATGCTCATTATATTTTTATATATAAAGAATCACTAATGTTGGGACGGGTATGTCATATGTGTATGAGTATGAGGTGGAGAGTCCAAAACCATAACTGCTCATTCCCATCAACCTCTTTAGCGGTTTTAACCACATCCGTCCGTGATAGAAACCTGCATTTCTACAGTTTGATTATTTAGATGGTTTGTCGGTTTATTATTTTTAGAACTATTTGGGATTTATTATGGGTTGATTGTAGAGGATTAATAATTTGGGGTAGCATTAGAGAACTATCCAATTATAAAATATTCTTGTAAGTGGAATTTATCCACTAAGCAAAATTAAACCTAAATCATTTCTACTTATTCTCTCTCTTTCTCTTCCTGCTATGCTAAAATCCTTCCTCTCTCTTTACAAGCTGCCGCATCACTTCTTCCTTCCCCCTCATCTCTATTCAATTTCCCAAATTCCCATCACTTTCCTTCCCATAGGTCGATCAATCCCTAGTTGATCTTTCCTACTTCTAATCCCTAGGTAGAGCCAAATTTCTTAGTTCTATCATTTGGTATGAGAGTCTGGTTGAGAGCCGAACTATTACTACTCTAGACCAGGGACGATCCGAGATGAAAGATGGCGGTAACCAAATCGTAGTCTGATGTCGAGAAAGCGGCCGAGAAGGCCACCCAAGAGAAGACTAAGCTGGAGCTCCGACAGCAAAACAGGGCCATGGATGAGAGCCTTCCGATGCTGCTGTCGTGCCATCGAAGAGCGTGCTGGCGAGGAACCCATCGTTGTAGACAACGAAGAACGAGAGAGGATTTGAGATTAGGGATTTTGAAATTACGAGGGAGGACAGAGTGGTGGCTGATGAAACGGAGGAGGATGATCTAAAGACCACCCTGAAGAGACTACTGGTGGCGCAGGAACAGGAGCCAAAGGCTCAAATAGTGGACGTTAGATGAGATAAAAGAGGTTCTGACCAACTTTCAGGGGAACCATCGGACCGGGGCCGAGAGGAACCTCGGAGGTGACCCGGTGGCAACATAGACAATGGTGGCGTCGCAGGACGCGGGGGCGATGCTGGCGACGAGCGCCGCAAAGGTATGAGGGGCGGCGGCTGACCTTGATGGGACGGAGCGTGCAGGCCACGGTCCGTTAGGGAAGGGTGACGAGTCCAGACTTCTGCCAACACCCATGGCCCAAGAATTTGCAGCCCTCAAGGGCAAGAATAAGATGTCGGGCTACGAGGATGGGGCCCAATATCCAAGCTTAGGGTTGCTGAACTCTACGGCCCAAGAAGGGGCAGCTAGATACCCCAGGAAACTCAATGGGCTAGGCTGGCTGGGCTTAGACCAAGAACAGGAAGAAGACGAGATAAGTCTGGTGAACCGATATAAGTCGTGGGTCGAGCCGGTCCAAGAATAGGGAAGTTGGAGCCAGGTTAGGGGACCGGTCAGTCCGATGTTGGGTGAACCAAGGTGGGTCGAACTAGGATTGACCCTTACTGATTCGACCAGCAGCAAATTGGGACATGTAACAAGGGTTTGACGTCTTGGAAAAGCCCCTACGGTAAGGCAGTGGCCTCCTACCCACCGTTCAGGGCTCCACAAGCAGTTGTGCACCAACCCGACCAGAGGACGAATGCCAGACGGAAGCCTCAGTCCTGGGAAGGTGGTTATGGGGGTTACCCAAGAGGCAAGGGCGGTTCGGAGATCCAGAAGAGGGAGGAGAAATGCTCGCGAGGCTACCCTGGTGGGACGCGAGGCTTCGACAGGTATGGATCGTATCAACATACTTATGATAGAGATGATGATTTAGTCTTCCGGACCAAACCTCCAACCATTGAATTTCCAAAATTCAATGGTCAAGAGGATGCAAGATTGTGGTTGTATGCAACTGATAGATGGTTCAGAAACCATCCCACACGGGAAGAGCGCAAGGCGCACATAGCGTCCTTCTACTTGGAGGGAGATGCATTATAGTGGTGGGAATGGATGGAGAGGTACTACGTTGCAGCTGAGACTTTGATTACGTGGCTGATATTCCAGGAGGAGCTCTGTTACCAGTTTGGTAATTTGGAGGGCTGGGCTCCAGAGCAACTAGCCAAGTTGAAGCTACCGAGCAGAGTTCCTTAAGTTGGGCAACCAATGCAAAGGGGTGCCCGATGACAATCTGGTGGGGCTATGTATGGCAAGCTTGAAGTCTGAGATCGCTGCCACAGTCATGGTCTTCGAGCCAGATTCCTTGAAGACTGCTTTCTGTCTTGCAGGTCACAAAGAAGAGGAGCTTACGAGCTGGCGAAGCACCATAGGTCGCTATTAGAGGCCTAGTGGTGGAGGGAGTAGTAGTGCAGGAATCACGAGTGGAGGAGGCGCTCCAGTCGGGGCGAGCTTAGGAGCTAAGACTGCAGTGATCGCAACATCGGCGGGAGGTCGACCTGGAGCGAGGGCGTCGCCAAAGGGCTTCGTGAGGTTACCCCCCACCGAGATCGAACAAAAGAGGAGAGAAGGCAAGTGCTTTAACTGCAACGAGAGATTCACGTTCGGACACTAGTGTGCGAGGCCTGACTTGATGATGCTGGTGAGGCGCTGGGAGGACGAGGCGGAGGACGAGGTCGGGGAAGGGAGAAGAGACCCGGAAGCTCGAGTTAAACTTTAAGCACAAGGTTGTTTTGAAGGATGCGATTATGATAGAAATCCGCATTTCTGCAATTCGATTATTTGGATGGTTTGTCGGTCTATTGTTCTTTAGAACTATTTGGGATTTATTATCTGTTAATTATGGGGGATTAATAATTTGGGGTAGCATCACAGAACTAACCAATTATATAAATATTCTTGTAAGTGAAATTTACCCACTAAGCAAGATTAAACCTAAATAATTTCTCCTAATTCTCTCTCTTCCTCCTCTGCCGAAACCCTTCCACTCTCTCTACAAGTTGCTGCCGCAACACTTCTTCCTCCCCTACCATCTCTATTCAACTTCCCAAATCCACATCACTTTCCTTCCCATTGGACGATCAATCCCTAGTTGATTTAACCTACTCTAATCCCTAGATAGAGCCATATCTCTTGATTCTATCAGCCCAGTATCCAATTAATGCAGAAATTTCCCACGTTGTCTATATCGGATATCAACTGTGACGAGTTTGATTACCATCCCTAGCTATTGGGTTAAAATGAATTGGCACCTTGTTTGTTGCTTTCATCTTGACCAAGTACTATCGGCATCCCAACTAGCTATACTTGGTAAATATGGTACAAAAACAGGGCGAAGCAAGCAGGCCAAGAACAATTGTGGTGAACAAGAATCTTGCAGCAGGAAATAAATTAGGTAAGACAAAACCAGAAATGTCAGAATAATTACATCGATTCTGTGATTATCCTCCACCATCTGCAGCTTCAATGCATGTTGTACACGGGATTGAGCAAGAAACAAAGGTTGCTGAACAAGAACTTACCTTTACAAAACAAATACCAACAAGATAGCTTGCTAAGACCATACTGCTATACTAATCTTAATAAATAAAGGACCAGCTGTAGCTATGCCCAACTATGTCTCTCGCTATGCTGCTCCTATCAGAGGAAAAAAAAGGAGAATTTCTTGTTGCTCACTTCGCTTCCTCGAGACGAGCTCTCACTGCTTCTGCGTTTGACGTTTTACTAATGCTGAAAAAGAAGACAGACAGTAAGGATTAAGGTGTTGATCATCATAATATATACAGTATTTAACTCCAAAAGGTAATGCACTTGATTTCATACAGTTAACTGAAGCAAGTTGTATAAGAGAAATTACCAGCACAGCAAATCGCCACTTAATCCCTTTTTCTCAGATATCCACTCTGGAACTAGTTCCTCCAGCAATTTTAACTGCTCTTCCACTTCTCCTGTGAATAGATGCCATTAAACAGCAGTTAGATTGGTTCTAACTGCACTCCAGCTAGCTACATTACACGAACTTACTAATATGTGCTTACTTTTGTCAACGATATCTGAATGACCAGCAATTATCTTATGGATAAGTTCCTCCTTGGTGATAACTGATCTCCTTAAGGACTGAAACAAGAAATGAATCACGTTGAAGAGCTTCGGCAAACAGGCGATCATCTGTCGCCGCCTCTTTGCTTGCGAGATGGCTGGATCCTTCTCTTCATTAGCCTTTCTCTCCTTCTCTCTTATCTGCAGGGCAACAATGCAATTAGGTTTTTGGTAAAATTAAAATTGAAGCAAGTCCACGCCTAGCCTTGTCAATCCAAGCACATTGAGTATGATAACCATTCAACAGATACCTAATCGCAGTTTCCGCTTCTACAAGGAAATGGGAAACGAACATACAAAGTAGGGTGCACTTACCGATTCAAGAAGTCTCTCGGGAAGAATAATATCATCATCAACTGGCACAACCCTTATCCGATTCACTTCATTCTCTGCATTCGTTGCAGAGGTATCTGATATAAACAACCTGGTTCGTGGTAGGCGCCTTACCAGCTTGTTTGGTGAGTTGGTAGCATCGCCATCAGGGGTCATATTCCTTCTCTTTTTCTGTCCAGGTTCAGGTGTAGCAGACATTAACCTGGCGGGAGAGAAAGCAACTTTTGCTGGAGTTGACTGGACTTGAGCACTTTCATAGGAAGCACCATCACCCTCCATCACCTTGATCGGAGTTGGAGGAATGCAAGGTATAATGGATGCACCAGCCGGAGAAGCTGAAGCCAAAGATACAATGTCGGTTGTTGGTTTGGCTGCTGTTGCACTGAGAACTGAATTCGAAGAACCCATTTCTACAACTGAAGAGATAGAGGTGATGCATGCCTCCCTGACTGATGCATTTGAAGACCCATTCTCTACAATCCGTGCTTCGATTTTTCTCCTATTGGAGAAGGACCTCCTAAAAGACCCGGAAAGATGAGAAGCTACTTCTGGTTGCAGTTTCTCGAGTGCTTCAGCCTCTGTGGAAAATGGAGTGCCACAACAACCTTCTCTACTGGCAGTAGCTCTGTGGTCCGTGGCTGAGGATGCATTGGTGTACTGAGGAGTATCCACATTCGTATCGCCCTTTCTATAATTGAATGGTTCCGGCAGCATCTCTTCAGGAACTTCAGCACCCTGAGTACAACAGAATACACGGGGGCCATTATGAACAAGAGCAACGCTCCAATATAGACCAACAGAACATACACAAATAGAGTACACTAAGACTACTGAAACACCTTAAAACGTGCAGGGATAACTAAAACCAAACCAGCAGAAATACTGGAGATGCACATGAATTTACCTCAGGGTGGGATTGACAGAATGCCTCAATGCGTTTGAGGAAAACCTTCCTCAAAAGACTAATTTTGTCCTCAGATTTCGGTAATTCATCCAGCTCAATAGCATCAGGATTAAGAGTAACATGGAGATCAGGCTTCATACAACTTGTCCGTTCGTCAAACTTCATCACCTTCTTTATCTCAATAGCATCCGGTAATATGTACTTCAATTGAGCCAAATTTCTAGGAGAAAATCTCCTATAGAAAATAAAAACAACACCAGATATGAACAAACTGGATCTAAAAGGCACAGACTGTAAGGCAAACAAAAACAGAGGGCTGAAACAGACATCACGTACCTGCCCGTTAGGGATTCAATTTTAGGGTAAATGTTGGAGAAACTAGGGGACGAGCCCTTCAGCCGCACTAATCGAATTGAACTATCTAAGCAGTTGAAAAACTCAATCAGCACCTGGTACCTGCCAAAATCAAAACCCATTTTCGAGCACTATTAAGTAAACAGTCAAGAGGATTCGATTCACTCAGATCTGGCTTTTCAAACTCAATCCATACCCCAAACACTAAAAAAGAAGCGGCTTACTTTTCAGGGATCTTAGCAGAGCTATCACGACTGGAACCCCCAGGTTTCGCGGCAGGGACAGACGGAGATGGGGCATGAGGTAAAGAATCGATCAGGCGGCGGGCAGATTTGGGGGTCCGGCGGCGGGACACACCCTTTTCGGCTGGGCTGGTTTGAGTAGCCGCCGCCATTTTGATTTCAGTCAGCGAGAGGGCCACGTTGCGGTTGCGGAGGCGGCGGACGGGTCCGGTTGCCGGCTCCGTCGAGGGCTTGTCGGGCGTCTGGGTGGTGAAGCCATCAGTGGGTTGTTTGGATTTGGGAGTGGAGGGGCGAGGAGGCTTTCTGGGCTTCAAAGGAGTCGAAATAAATGAAGAATGGGAAGAGTTCGTCTTGCCAGTTTCCATCGACGGAGAAAGGAAGGGCTGTGTTTCTTGTTGTTTTTGCTTTTGAGAGGCGAGGCAGAAAGAGAGATGGAGTGGCAGAGAGCGCGGCGGGGAACGGTGGCGACGAGTGGGGAAGTAAGGCTGGGAAATAGGGAAGGCTTTTATTGGGGTTCTTTTTGGCGGGAATGCTGAGCTGGAGACCTACCACGTCTGATTCCCGCCAAATAGAGTCGTTGCTTCCCGCGGGTCCATCATCGGTAGCCTCATAAGAGATTTTGGGCCTGCGTATTTACGTTGTATTTCGTTGGGCCAAGAGTCGTTGCTTACCGCTAAAAATATTTATAACGACTAGCGTACTACGAAGTGATTTACCCCATTAGCAGTGCATTGCAATTTGCAGCCATCAGAAAGAAACAGGAAGTCAGATGTTAACAGAAGATTTAATGAATCTACGTTGGATTTAGATTGCATTGTCTTGAGTCTTTACAGTTTCAGAAGGCAGCTCAGAATGGAGTGGCCCTCTAAAAATTGACTGGATAAAAGCTACCTTAAAAATGAATCTTATGTACAACAATTAAATCTAAACCTGTACAAGTCCACTACAAGTCCACAAATCTGAACATAACTTCCAGGCTTGATAACCTGATCTTATACCCCATATCGTTTTTCTTTAAAAGCTAGGTGGGTCTTCAAGGTCTTCACCTATAGTTTCAGTTTCAGGAGGTCTGCTGCCATACACTTCATCAAAATGGAGACTTAAATTCCCTCCAGCTTCAATGTCATCATCATACATGTAAGTAGTCCTGGACATACTACGCGAGTTCCTCAACTCCAGGTCCTGTTCTTGTTCCTCCATGCTTCTTTCCGATAAATTCTCAAACTGATTACTATGGGCATATCTGTTGAAATCAGGGGGCTCCAGGAAACTTGCCTGGGGCTGTTGTCCGTGCAAGTTGCTTCTGGACCACCAATGGCTTCCACCAGGACGATGAACACCGTGAGTGGAATCATGATGCTGGATCACACTCTCCCGAAAGAATGGAGCAGATGTGGAAGCCTGCAGATGAGAGCCTGGTCGATCATCAAAATGCTGACGGTCCCAGTAGTCTTCATCATCATATCTTTGATCACCACACTGCGCCAAATTGGTAGGGTTCCAGAAATCTTCGGTTTGTTGGTCAGTAACATCAAGTTGTGCAGTATGTTCTTCTCTAGGATTATCATTCATCAAATTGTCGCGTTGAGACATATAGTACCAATCCAGAAGATATGGATGATGATTCTTTTGATCCACATCAATCAACCATAAGGAGTCCAACTGAAATCCAGCAGTATGATACGGTGCACCCCTAAAAATGGTCGTGTTTCTCTCCCCGGCACTTCTAAGGCTTAGAGGACTGCCTCGCAACATTTGTGGATGGTGACACATATGTCTAATTCCTGGTCCTTGCATCTTCTGTTCCCTGAAATTCCTAAGATTTAGCAAGAACTGCTTCCCTTGAGCATTTGGTTCCCATGAAGGATAGCTACTCTTGAAACTGCAAAACCACATTGGAAAATTAGTTCTTACAGCCTATAAGCCCTGCACTGGGCAAACTAATTAACCTATTGTATAATTGAGATTTAGAACTTGGCCAGCGACATGACCAAACATTAATCAATCTGCATCAAGATTTGCTAGCAGGACATAGTCATACCTCAACATTGCTTTTTCCATCTTTCCCTGAGAACTCCTTTGAGTGCGAGGTGCATTACAGGGCGAAGCGTAGTTGCTATTGCCATGATTTAGAAAATCAAAAGCACTAAAACTGCAATAGTTTAAATGAAAATTTTGAAACTGTTTAGTGCCGAGAGCAAAAGAAAACCAAAACTTGTTCATTCTTGATCAATCTATGGTTTTAAGGGTTAATAAAAAAACTGACCTACAAACATGACCAACGCCTTGCACTTCCACAGTGAAATTTGCTATGAACTCCAAGATGTCATCAACGCGCTGCACAATATATAGGTAATGGCTTAAATCTGGTATATAAATTCAAACTATTAAATATATCACACAGAACAAGATAGAGACATGTGTGAACAAGCTGGTACCTTAGGTACAACAAATAAAAGCAAGAGTGGAGTGAGAAATATAGATGCCATCTCCTCAAGTAACATCATACCAGTATACTGCAGCACGTAAAATCCCCAGGATGAGCAAAACAAACTTAGAACTCAGTCAAATATGAAAGAAAGAGAAGAAAGCACTACATTTTACTTCATTTGAGCTAGGATAAGGGGCTCACACTACCTGAAATAAGGTTTCAAACTCTATTCTAACTGTCTCAGTATGTTCCTTGCCCCGCCATCTCTTTGGCATGTAATGAGTATGCTGTACCACCACAGTCATTGTTCCTTCCGGATCAAGAACTAAGAGATCATTTGTCACTGCAGCCCGGCTGATAGCTGTTATAGTTCCAAAAACAGCAGCATACCAAAGCAAGTTGCGCCCGAAGATCTACAAATGAAATCCTCAATGTGATATAACATGTATCGCTGAAATTGGTACTAAACGGAGAAAGACATCTAGCCTACATATATGGTAAAGTTCTTGGGAGGGGTGGAGAAACAATTCTCTTACATGGCCCTCGAGTAAAGATTCCTCCACAAATGCAATGATCAGCAGGACAGCAGCAAATCCACCGGATACGAATGAGATAAACTTTGCAACAATGGAAATTATAGGAGATGGGAACTGTTTTAGATATTCTGAAGCATGCACTATACTGCTGTTGATTCGATGCTTGAACAAATGGTCAACCTAGGACACAAACAAAAGAATCTTCAATCACCATTCACCAGTGCTCAATTTAGTGCCTATAGAAAAAGAATTAGACTGAAAGAAACTTTTGTCTAGCATGTGGAGATAGCAAAAAACAACAATATTTCCACCAACCAGCAGCCTGCACTAAACCATCACACATATCAACTAGAAATTCACTTAATTGTCCGTATATGTTTTGTCAGCGTGATGCCACAGAAACAATCAGAGAAGGGGTATTAGCAAACTATAACTCCAAGCAGTTACTTTAAGACTATGGCATCATTCTAAAAGCAGGGGGGAGATCTGAATATTGTTTTACAAAGCACAAGAAAATTAACCAATTTACAGACTGCAGAAAGAGAGAAACACAAAGAGACAGAGATACACCTCATTGAATTCTCTAAACATCCACCTCGACAAATTTGACCACCGTCTAGATGATGCTGTGCCAGGATGATTATAGAACTGCTCAGCATGTCGCAAGAAGAGATATACTAACATGAATATGACAAGAAATGGCGAAAGCAGAAGCATTGCAATCCCCACGACCATAAGTCGCTTTTTCAGCGTTTTAGGATTCGAAAGGAAGTCCATCTTAACACAGAAGTTTCTGTAAAACAACATTCAGAAATCAGAATGTTCAGTCCTTGGCATTCAAACGCACACGAGAACAAGCATATATCAGAACTTACCGATCAAACATGCTCTGCAGTATGCACCAATTTAAGGTCCACTCAAGAGTCTTTGTGAGAATCAAGCGATACTGAGTTCCATCTGTACCAAATTTGACAATTGGCCCAGCACCTGGAATCCATGGTGATATGGGGAATGCAATTACCCCTTTATTGAGCATTCCAATCAAGTAGTTCTCTTTTCGCATCAATCGCATGACCATGTCATGGGCTGATAGGTCTTTGACCACGCAGAGTTGTCGAGAGGTTTGCAGTTGGACAACCTTTTCAAGAACTGTTGCCCATGGCATAGTTTGAATCTCCTTGTCTGTCACATGAAGACTGCAAAAGAAAATGAAATTCACAGTTTGATACCTGAAGTACTCGCCGTTAAAAGGAGCAACGCAGCCAAAACCAAAGAACATAGCAAGATCAAAAAATAAATAAGGAAATTACCATAGATAAGCAAAGAAAAAGTCACTGAAAAGCTAACCCAAAGAACTTCAGACATGCTAATCAGGGTATCATGGTTACCTATTGTGATAGAATTGACGGATCCGAAGGGTCTCCTTCAACTGTGAGAAAAACCTGAAGAAACAGAAGACAAGATAGATGGAAAATAATCCCAAATATCCAACAATGATGGCTTTTGATAGAGTTAAGGGGGTTAATGGGTGTTCATGAAGAGCTTCTTTTGCCAGGTCACAAGGCTTGGTTCCAGATTCAACTGCATCCATTCCACACTTAGCATTACGTAAACCATTCCAGTCAACGTAAAGTAAGAAAAACCCAGAGAAACAGATGGTGAAACCAAGGCTCAGGAGTTCAACTATCCATTTTATAATAATGCACCAGAGGCCCTTCTCACAGTAGTAGCTGTAAAGCCTTTCAAAGAACAGGTCCAGATCAGCAATTGGCTCAACGTTCAAGCTTTCACCATTAAGAAGTCCAGAAGGGCTTTCACTACCAGGACTTGGTATCCTTCCATAACCAGACAGCTCAATCTCTGGTGCCACATCCTTAAGCAAGCCTGCTGTCAAAGTGGAGTCATCATGCCATCTCCAATTAAATTTCCTGAGGGTGTTAGAGCTCGTTTGCCCACTGAACATCATTCACAAATGCATAGAGTATGCAAAGTCAACCAGTCCATCCCCCAGAACGCAAAAATAGCTACAACAAAGTTCTGGAGATAAAAAAGGAACTTCAGTTAATTACAAGCTGTAGCTGGGATTTATTTTTCATTCATAGTAAACACAAAGCAGACAACTTAAATTGAAGTGCCATTGAGATTGCACTCACAGTCTGTAAAAACCAACTAGGATAACATATAAATTATCGTGATCATTGGTCACACGGCCTGTAAAGAAGGGGCAGGATCCAGAGAAACACCTTGGCGTTGGGTGGGTGGGGGGAGAGAGGGGGGGGGGGGGGGGGGGGTGGCGGGGGGGGGGGGGCGGGGGGGGGGGGGGGGGGGGGGGGGGTTCAAAGGACATAACAAGTACTGTTGAACTTGCTGGTTCCCTCATCGTAGCATAATAAATCTCCCTTATCAAAAGTAGATAAATAAAATAACTATTGTAGATTCAAAGTCCAGTACTCACAAGAAAGACAGAGAATGGAAATAGAATTGGAGGGAAAAGAAGTGAGGTTCTGATATCTAAATGCCCCAATTAAGCAATCAGACTATTACAGCCTCAAACCAATCAGCTGCAGGATCACTGATTTATCAACTGAATAGTAACAGTCTGCTGACAAATCCCAATAACGTGAGCACACAACAATATAATCCCAACATCTTAAAGTACATGTTCTAGTTGATGCCAGGAAATGGACTAGACTTGTACAATTATCCCACTGGATGAGCCATAGCACATGCGATATTCCAAACTCCCTATTATATTTACGAAACTGTTGTGTTATTATCGTTTAGCTCCCCTTTTGTTTCATATAAGGTTCTTAAACATTCCAGCGAGTCACAACCGTGCAACCCACTAAATTCTTTGAACCCATATGTTGGCATGTTGGCAACCAAACAAATTGGACTTGGACACAGCTATACAGGATTTTATGAGACAGAACTTGAGAAGAGAAAAAACAGTAGGCATCCTTTGGCTCTAAGTGACGGCATCAGATTTCCAGAATCAAGTTTGAAATAGGTATAGGATATACAAGTCCGAAGCAACGTGATTTTTCCTGTTGCTAAGGACAAAAGGCTGATAAACTCTCTCGAGTTTTTTCCCCCCATCTATTAGGAACCTTTGGCAAGGATGTACTGCGCCAAAGCAAGAATTTTCCATAACCACGAATGAACAATGAGGTTTACAGATATGAGTAATTGGTACAGAAGCAAAAAGTTTGACAACATTCTATGAAGTGTGCTACAAAACGGCCTCTCTGTTCACCAACAGTACTACTTATTGCCAGTAAGTTATCGAGATAATATAATTAAGCAGGAAATTAAGACGTCGTGACTCATTAATAGCTCACAATCAAGTATTCTACATGCTTAAAGTATTACATCCACCATGCATTGCAGTCTGAGTACTTCCACTATTTAGTTCTTCTACAGCCAGACTCACCCTGGTGCGGTAATGCAGGAATGTTTAATCCAAGCGGGGCAGTGTATTACCAAGAGATGGTGATTAATCTACTGACTTACGGTTAACAAGAATGATTTGCTTCCCGCATAAAGTTCACGAAATAAGGACCATGAAGAGCAAAGATAAAAACTTCAGAATGGCTCTAGAAATAGAACTCAATCTAACACTTATTACTGCGCTTAGAAGAAACCCCAGAATCAAAAGCTTATCCATAGTTCAAACTCATCAAACTGCCGGCGCATACATCAAAAACTGTCAGCGGATGACCAAACAGTAATAAACACCCACTGTCCAAACATAAACTCATAGAAGCTAAAAATCGTGGTACTCTGAAACCAGAGCTCAAGGAAAACTTTGCAGGCACCTAATTCAACCTCAATCGATCATGGAGAATAAAACTCCGAACTTTAAAACCCAATACCCAAGGAAGAAGCTGAGCTGGAGAATTTCAACTATCTGGCACGCCGCCAATAAGCGGAACCTCAAACGTACAATCTTAATTTAACAAAGGACAAGGATATGGAATTACCTGCGACCCAGCAAAGCAAGAGCTCCAAACGAAGCGCCCTAGGAACTATCGGGTGGACAGGGGCGCAAATAGGTATCCCCTGGAATTTACCGAACCCAGGAAGACAGATAAACAACAGAGGAAAGGTTCGCTAGAGAAGTAGAAGGCAACCCAGGAGCGAAAAAGGAAAAGAAGGACAAGGATGATCGGAAAAGCTCTTATATTTCCCTTTAGCAGTGAACCAGACGGGAAGGAATACCGGAGCGGAGTTGCAAAGGGGTAAGAGGGCCAGCCAGCCGAACAAAAGTTTGGTTGCGTGGACGAAAGATGAATTTCCTCGTTAGAGAATTGGGTCCTTTTTCCTATTCTTTTTTCGTTAGGGAAATTCTACAAGGCAAACAACGGAAAGTTAAACGAAGAGTTTTATAATAAAGTTGTATGCTTTTTATATATTTTCTTCTGCTGTTTTTCTTCTTTTTTTTTTTTTTTTAAGAAGACCGACATCAATGGTGTCACACCATAATTCATAAATCAAACTGAACATTCTTGGGTAACACCCATGACATCAAAATGGATTAAGTAACAAAGACTTGGATCATACACATCAACAGGATGTGTACCAAAATTCAAACAATGACCTTTGTTGGCCAGAAAATCCGTCGTGCTATTACATTCTCTGTAGATATGCTCGATGCGGACTTCCCAATTCAGGTCCAAGAGTTTGTGGATCTCTGATGTGAGGGAACTATGTCGATGCACTGCTTCTCCTATCGTTTTGACTTTCCTCACAACATTGAAGAATGCAAGGATTCTATTCAAGAGGCTTTGCTCACAGTATCTCTTCCCATCAAGGGCCTCTTCGTTTCGCTGTCTCCAAATGTCACACAGAATGACTCCAAAATCAATACCCTTCTCTTCATCTCTCAGGTTTGCAAGAAGCCAGTGGTTGAAGGGGATTGAGGAGCTCGACTCTGTAATAGAGTGTTTCAGGCTCCTCCAGAGAAATTCAGTTTTAGCACACTTCCTCAGGATGTGCTCGGTTGTTTCTTCTTGTCCAAGGCAGGCCGGGTGAGAGCACCTTCCATCAGTTGTCAACTTCCTCGAGCTCTTTCGTGATTAGTGAGCAGTCTTCCATGCATTGAGAGCCAGAGGAAGTGTTTAATTCTGCTCGACCCTTTCCACTTCCAGATCCTCTTCCATCCCTCATCCTCATGTGGCTCCACCTCATCTGCGACGAGCTTGTAAGCTGATCTGAGGCTGAATTTTCCTTTTGGTTCGATTCCCCAAATCATTTTTCTTCTCCTTGTCCCTGCTTTGGTGTTTCAGTACCTGCAATTAAGGATAGAACATCATTAGAGAGTTTGCCATTTAACCGTTCCCAATTCCAATCCCCACAATCAGTAACATAGTTGCACATAGGTTCATCCTTTCATCTTCTTCGAGGTTGGAAAGAAGGAAATCCTCCAGAATGATTCCCGAGTCGATCCAAGCTTGAGTCCAAAAAAAGGTAGTCTTCCCATCTCTAATGCTCGAGCATGTTGCTGAGTCCATGGCAGGCATAGCTTTTAAGATTCCTTTCCAGAGTGTAGAGTGGTTACTGGTCTTCATGTAGGTAATTTGACCATTGTGGTGATTGAAGTACTTCCCTTGGAAGACCTGCACCCAAAGATTATTTTCATTGTTAAGAAGCTGTCAAGCAAGTTTGACAAGGTAAGCTTTATTCAGACTTCTAGCATTTCTTAATCCAAGCCCTCTTGATCTTTTGGCTTACAGATTTCCTCCCAGGAAATCAAGTGGACTTTCTTCTTTCCATCTTTGGTTCCCCAAATAAACCCTATAATTTTCCTATCTATCTCATCACACACAGACAAAGGGAACAGAGGTTTGCATAGCATAAGTAGGTATTGCATTAAGCACTGTAGTAGCAAGTGTGACTCTCCCAGCCAATGAAAGTGTTCTGGCTTTCCAAGCATTTAGTTTCCTATCAATCTTTTCAATAATGTACCTATATGTGTTTCTATTTATTCTACCGTGTAAAATAGGAACACCAAGGTATTTTTCAAGGTCTTCAGTGCTCTGAATACCCATCCTACTGCAAATACAAGTCCTATCCAGGTTCCTGAAGTTTTTAGACAAGAACACTTGAGACTTGTCTTTGCTAGTAAGTTCACCAGAAGCACTACAGAACCTTTCCAAACATCTCATGACAATCTCTGTTTGCCTCACATTGGCCTCAGCAAAGATGACTAAGGCATTAGCAAAGAACAAATAGGAGAGATCAGGACCATTCTTAGACAACCTGATAGGTTTCCATCTACCATCCCTAACTTCTCTAGAAATACAGTGGCCTAGACGTTCAATACACAAAGTAAAGAGATAGGGTGAGAGGGGACATCCCTGTCTTAAGCCTCTGCTTGGAGTAAAGGCCTCTGTTTCACCCCCCATTCCAAAGGATTTTTAGTTCAGTTGTTGTCACACATGCCATAATCATTCTGACCCCATTCTCTTGAATTCCTGCACCTTGCAAAGTCTCCTCAATGAACTTCCAGTTGAGTCTGTCGTATGCCTTGACCAGGTCGATCTTAAGAAGCATTTTACCCTTCTTTCCTGACTTCCTGGACATAGCGACCACTTTGTAGCTTATGTTACAAAGGCTGATAGGCCTGAAGTGGTTCGTGTAACTAGGGGCTTCCACTTTGGGTATCAAAGTGAGGAGGGTTCCATTCACACTGCGAATTAACTCCGGATTTCTATAGCATTCTGCAACAAAGCTGCAGAGATCATCTCCAACCACATCCCAACACTTTTGGTAAAAGAGGGCATGGAATCCGTCACTTCCTGGCGCTTTCAATCCATTCATGCTTGCAACAATCGCTTTGATCTCCATCGTCAGCGGTGGGGTGTCAATTCTTCTGAGAACAGACTCATTAAGCCCTGGGAAGTCAGCAGCAACAACATCTCTTTCCTCATTGTTATCACTCGAGAATAGGTTAACAAAGTGATCTCTAGCCATAAGGATAAGTTGATCCGGATTAGTGATCCATTGGCCCAGGTCGTCTTTGAGGCCTCTAATCTTATTTCTTTTCCTTCTAGCAAGTGTACTGGTGTGGAAGAAGCATGTATTCCGGTCCCCCTATTCCACCCCTTTCACCCTAGACTTCTGAAGCCATAGGAGCTCTTCTTGCCAAAGGGTATCTTCGAGCTCTACCCTGATTCCTTGCTCTGCTCGAAGGGACTGCTCTGTTGGGTTGTTTTTGTTTCTCCACTCCAGAGTTCCTAGCTTGTTGAGTAGCTTCTTCTTCCTCCTGAAGATATTCCCAAAGCTTTCTTTGTTCCAGCTTCTAAGCTTTTCAGTGAGGGCTTGCAGGGAGGGAAGAAAATCCTTGTCCTTAGTCCACGTATAAGCAACCAACGGTTGGAATTCCTCATGTCCAAGCCAGGAAACAATAAACTGAAACCTTCTTTCCAATTTGTTTTTGTCATGAGTTCTAGCACTACAAATGAGGATAGGCCTATGATCCGATTTGATCTTTGTCAGGTGGTGGTTGGAGCTGTCCGGGAAGGTATGCTACCATGCCACATTGCAAAGAGCACGATCCAACCTTGCCTTACGCCTGGTCTTATTGGTGAACCAGGTGAAGCTCGGTCCAGTAAATCCAAGATCGATCAGACCACAGTCTTCAATACAGTTGTTAAAAGCTCTTGCTTTAGCAGGGTTGAAGCAGGCTCCTCCTTGTTTCTCAGATGGCTTGGTGATAGAGTTGAAGTCACCAAAGAGAAGCCAAGGATCGCTGGTGCTTCCTTCAATCCCTCTAATGGCATCCCACAACTTACTTCTTTCATGCTCGTTGGGGCTAGCGTAAACAGCAGTGTAGTAGCAGACCGGAAGACATTTCATCTTGCATTTGATGCGAATGAACTGTTTTTGTTTATCCTGAGCCTCCAACTCAATGTTTCCTTTGTCAAAAAGGATCCAGATCCCGCCACTGAAGCCCTCAGCGTCTGATACAATTTAGGTATCATATCCGAGCGTCTTGATGACTTTGATAGTGTCCTCCCCACTTATCCTGGGTTCCAATATACAAACATTGTTTTCTTTTACTGACTTCTTACGGAAGCCTAGTTTTTTGTTTCTTACAAACAATAAAATGTATAAATGGGATGGAAGACGTGAAGATGAGTAATTTTTTGTTTCTGGGATGAGATTATATGATTAAAGGGTTCTCATAGTTAGTGATGACAATGAGCGGGGCGGTACCTCAATACTCATATCTGGTTCCATGTTAGTGTGGGTCGGGGCGGTTAATATTGTGTGGGTATGGGGTAGAGTGTGTCGACTCACTTTTACATATTAGTTGAAAAAAATATACGCAAAATTTTACTTTTTACGATAAAACGAAGGAAAAATACTTTATAAATTAAAATAGTGATAATATAATGAGTAATTGAGTCAAACTAGCTGAAGCAAAGTCAAAATAGGAGAAATATGAATAGATATTGTAAAGAAATTGAGACAGAATAGGTCAAATACGGGGCGGGCGCGGCAGGTCGGAAGTAGATACCCATGCCTAGCGGCATGCTACTACGGGTCGGGTAATACTCGCCTCATCGCGGATCAAGTTAGGTAATTCTCGGAGTGCTGGGTTCCCATTGTCATCCCTACGCTTAATCACGATGGTGTTTTAAATCATATAGTTAGAAATTAATAGGAATTAGTAATGATTTATATGGTCTTTTCATGATTTATTAAAATTTTCAGCTAAAAGAAAACGAGCACAAATGCAGGCGAGGAAGATTATACGCTTCACGAGATGTTGGGCGGCATGGCAACCGGAACAATAGGAAAATAGAAAATGGAGAGCCGACCGCGACAGATTTGATGATATGCTTTGGTCATTAGATTAGTCATGTGATGCTTATGTCATCCAATGTGTTAGTTATTCAATGTTTTAATCATTCTATGCTTATATCATCTATTATGTGCTACACTGGTATTGTTTATAATGTCATGTTAAGTGTTAGAAAACTACTCTTGTATGATGTGTTATCGCATTGTGTAGGTATGCTTAGCTAGACACAACTATGCATGCATATGCGAGATCAATGCTTGATACTTAGATCATCATTGCTATAGACCATTGATATGACTTATGGAGGCCATAAATAGTAAATGAGCTATCCTTACTTTCTTGTTTTATTGATTAGTTAATGACATGAAGCGAAAGCACGCATCAACTAGTTGTAGTACTCTATGATCATATGGCGAAAGCTCGGTTATGATGCTTTAGTCGAAGAGATAGAGTATCATAATAGAATATATATAGATGCATCTTATTAGTGAGATTATATAAATGATCATCTAGGTGAAACTATCTAAACAATAATTCTTTAATT